GGGTGGTAGGGGATGATGGAGGGTGGTGGGTGGTGGGCGACGGGTTACAGGTGGTGGGTGACGGGTGAAGGACGAGGGTTACGGGTTCACGAAGGGATTTCTCTACCCTTCCATCTAACCCTTCTGTACGTGTGTTGTTGGTTGACCGGAGGTGTGTGATGCGTGTTATAGGTGGGTTCGTGAGTGTGTAGCGTGTGTGAGAGTGTGACGAGTATGATGAGTGTGCTTTGGGTGTGATGAATGGTGATGACTATGTGGTAAGTGCATGTGGTGGGTTATTTTGAACGTGTTCAATTACCCTTTGTAAACAAAGTGCTCTTGGCATGAAGTAAAATTTTATCAGGGTTTGAGAGGCGAGTGTATGGTGAATGAGTCTATACGGTTGTGGTGAGATGATGAGCTCTCAACCAATCAGCGGCGAGCATGTGCTGCAGTATATGTCATCGTTTACATTCACTATAGTGACTTCACTATAGTGACTTCACTATAGTGACTTCACTATAGTGACTTCACTATAGTGACTTCACTATAGTGACTTCACGATAGTGACTTCACGATAGTGACTTCACGATAGTGACTTCACGATAGTGACTTCACTATAATGACTTCACTATAATGACTTCACTATAATGACTTCACTATAATGACTTCACTATAATGACTTCACTATAACGACTTCACTATAACGACTTCACTATAACGACTTCACTATAACGACTTCACCATAATGACCACTATAATGACTTCTTGTGCATATATAGGTACGGCTTATCGTTCAGTAACGAATTAGTCATCAATCAAAAATCTCAGTTCACGATCACGGAATCAACATAACTTTTCGGGTACGTAGGCGCCATAACAGCTGTGAAGCCTTTAACTGTCCTTGATAAAGTCAAGAGTTCCGATACCAGCTAATATAACACAGAGATAACGATACTTATCATATCTATCTTAATAATTCAATTTTCATCCTTTTACTTTTTTTCGACAATGATTGGTAGTTTTACAATGATATACGTAAGTTATTAAGTACTCTTTGATCGGCAGTTTTACAATAATTCAAGTTATTAATTTCTCTTCAATTCGACATCAATCGACGATAAAAATGCAGTAACGAGTTTATTCTATATTTTTTTGCATGAAACATTCATACGCGTCGATCAGCTTAATCTTTAAAGTAAAGCTCCCTCAATATAAATGTGAAACCATCGATATCAACGAGAGGACGCTTGTATTTACATCATACGAAACCTTGGTGTTCAACGTGATAATACTTTGATGTTGAACGATATGAAACTTTGCTTGCCAGCACGAAGGAACTTGAACATTGGAAAAAAACAACGAAAGCTTATGACTGAACTCAGACTTCAAGCGCATGAAAGGCAGAGAAGAACTGAGGAAAGTTTACACGCACGGCTTGCTTGCACTTTACAACAGCTGCAACAACTGAGGCAGCAACGAGCACAACAGCTGCTACAACTGAGGCAGCAACGAGCACTACAGCTGCAACAACTGAGGCAGCAACGAGCACAACAGCTGCTACAACTGAGGCAGCAACGAGCACAACAGCTGCTACAACTGAGGCAGCAACGAGCACAACAGCTGCTACAACTGAGATATTGTATGACGGCAATATACATGAACTCTTAAATAGTTTTCTAATTCTTAACATAGAAAATAGTTACTAGTTACGTACCTAACTATTATCATAACAAATAATGACTAGTTTCCTAACTATTAACTTGACAAATAGTTACTATCTTCCTAACTATTAACCTAACAAATATAAACTAGTCTCCCCAACTCTTAACAAAAGAACACAAATCTCTTCAAATTATCGAAGTCCCAACACCCGCGCGACTTTCATGTGCACATTTCCTACGTCAAATTAAATGTGTTTATCGGCGTCCAGCTTTTGGTTTTCCAGGGCTGATATTATTATTTATTTGTTAGGGTTATTTATTATTTATAGGTTATTATTTGTGATAAGGAATGATCACAATTGATAAAACCAAAGCTTATCTTCGGTGTCCACGTCGACCAAAAGGCGCCTGTAATCAGCACTATAGATAACCATAGTTCAAAAACATCGGCGGTTTATGCGCGGCCAAAATGCTACCCCAGTAACACGGCGCTGATTATCAGTAAGGTAGTCAATGATATTAGGATAATTTAGAAGGCTTCAGTATAGCGTCAGCGATAAGCCTTATCTTCGAATTACCCCACGCAGGGGAAACACAAATTACCCCTGAATTGTTTGTTGTCAGGCGCCTACCAAGAGCTTCTGAAAGCGAAGTGATTTATAGTCTACAAAAATNTTATTTAAATGAACTATAAGGATAACATATTACAGTCTCCAGAATATAAATCCTATAAGGATAATATATAATGGCCTCCAGAATCTAAATGATTTAAATGACTTATAAGGATAATATATAATAGTCTACAGAATATAAATGCTATAAATGACCTATAAAGATATATCAATTTATCCAATCCCGTACAGTTCAACATTTTACAATTGATTTTTTTTTCAAAATTTTATGAATTTATTAGAAAATATGCTTCCTTCTCAAGGCTAAAAAGAAAAATGAAAGAATTTTCTTTTCGGCAAGGGCGTTTTCAGCGAGGATGTTGATTTCCCTAATCTTTTACAGTTCCCTTGAAACTTTTACTACCTACTCTGAATGTAAGGAAAATCAAGAAAACAGGCGCGAAATTGGTAGAATTATAGCAAATTTGATTAAGTTATATAATTATTTTCATTATAATTGTTGTCCGCGTTCGTTAAGGAGCGAGGTAAGAAACTTGATTCCTTGACCTTTGATGTACCGATGACTGAATTTAATATATGCCAAATATATTATACGCTTCTTGGTGGCGAGTTTAGAGTTACGGCTCACGAATAACGGAAGTGGGGCGCGAGCAAGAGCTTTGCGGCTCACATGAGCAAGCAAGAGTGTAGCCGCGGCTCACATGAGCAAGCAAGAGTGTAGCCGCGGCTCACATGAGNACAACCATTTCATTAATACGATAAAGATTGCGATACGATAACATCTTTGTTATAAAGTCCCCCAAAACGATAATAATCATAATTAAATAAAAGTATGATATTATGATTTAAAAAGTATCACTTTACGTAGCTGCCAAAAAAAGTGCTTGGAAGAATTGATGAGTTAGGTTAGAATTAGATTGTGAATCACTTGCGAATTCATCTGTCTTCGTAATTGAGATACGAGCGCGCAAATACAGCAATTAGTCAAGCGCATTCGTTAATCCACTTTATTTCATACTAAAATATTATAAAACATACAACATTGTAAGAAATTTTTTAACAAACATCGTATATTTGACGCTCACAAACCTTATGAATTCATACTGTAGACTACATATTACCCCATGAAACTCATGAAAGAATCTATAGCAAATAAGCAATAAATACTAGTAAATACAGAGATTTCTGTGTAATTTATCCAAAAACAGCAGTGAATGAATGCTTCACATGAACTTGGTAAACGGTGGCCGCATTCACAGGTCAAGACTGGACCTAGCGAGGAGACCCAAGTCACCATAATTATTTTAACTAAGTGAAATTAATAATAATTATCAACATATTTAAATTAGTTTCTTACCTGTAAGAAGGGCTTTCCCTGGTGCCTGCTGGTGTGTAGGAAGAGACTAGATGTTATTTCTCGTGCCCAGATCTTGTAACGCACAATTTCTATTTTCAAAGTGAATGTTTTTGCTGACCTGGTTTGGTAGTCTCGTGATCCCACAACAGTTCGGTAAGCTCAAGTTTGCGCTACGGATATTAAATGAAATCAACGTCTTTTTTTGGACGCGGTTGGTTAATGGACTTCAAGTCAGAAATTTGTTGCTGTCACTGTGTGGGGTGTCGAAACTCGATGTGATGTGATGACAGACATTACAACGTCGCCGTGATGAAGAGCTGTGATGACCAACACATCATCATCCCATGTAGTTATGTAGCGCTATTATTACACCTGATTTGCGGCAACAGGTCAGTTCATGAGATTTTCGCAGCATGTTCCTTAGTTTTGGTAACTTGATTATGGGCCACGAAATTTTGTTTCAAACACTTTCAGTCCTTCACGAGGAACGCCTTCCACTTTTTTCAAAAAACCACTGATTTTTTTACGCACGAGTTCCTTTGGTTTCCATTGCTTTACGCAAAAAAAAAACATTTCATCATTTTTCCGATACAAAAATAAAAGATCTTCAATGCTGGCAGACGCCTTATGTAAAGTTTCCAAAACGCTGCTGGCGATTAATCGTATAGATTCCCACAACAATCAGAAATATTCGTGTTCCGTCAACAATACACGAGTTGACGTTAGTCACAATATTCGTAAATAGAGATTATATTACACTATTAGCATATAAAACTTATAGTATTCACTCGACGGCATATGGCGCAGCGCACTCACAAACACTATATATATGCAATTCACTTATATATCACAATGGAAGATTAGACGACTGCTCATTCAGGATTTGAATAGTACAGCGGAAGGATTTTTCTTTTTCATAATGAACCGTAGACTTATTTGCAATTTCATGAGAACTTGTCTCGTTCGTAAAATACTGTGCGCACTGAAGGGCTCGAACAGTCAAAACTGTTGCTAATTAACGTGCGGGACGATGAAAATGTTTCGCCTAAAATCTGGCATGGACACTCGTCGAGTTTTTGCAACTCACGAACCCACAGTACACAATTAAAGTGAAGATTCTGATCATACGCGAATTTTAGATATTCGTCTCGATTATGTGAGACTATGGCGCTGAGATTGATTCCTTAGAACTAATCATAGTTGAATGAGAAATGGCCGGAAAAATTGGCTATTGAAAAGTCTTCGACATCCTCGAGCTGATCATCAACAGGTTTTGAACAGCTGAGTAAGCAGGCCATGAGAAATTGATGCGAGGCGGGAGGTCCCGGGAGCAGTTCAGATAATAAGGCTTAGCACTAACTAAGAGCACGACGACGAAAAACATCTGCGCTAGTAAGAACAGCATCAAAAATGGCCACTACGAGCACTGCAACCAACCGCATGTGCAGGTGTATGACTGAGGTGGTGCGGGCACTATTGGTGCGTAGTAATACCCGTTGCTGAAAATGACGGGAGGTGGCGGCGCGATGTGCAAGTCATAGCTACTGTTGGATAGACTGCTGCTGCCACTGCTGTTGCTGCCACCATTTATGTTGCTGGTGCCATCAATGCTGCCACAAGTGCTGCTGTTACTGCTGGTGCTACTGCTGTTGCAGCTCTGGTGCTGTTTTGTGTACATGAGTTGCTGGTCAGTGTAGAAAACCTGACACGCGAGCTCGTCTATCAAGTTGAGAGTCTGACGGCGTTCGTGACCCATGAGACAGACTGTGGACTCATCCACGACTCTGTGAAGCCGTCGGAGGTACTCGTACCTCAGGCCCTCATCAGCGCCAACCAGGTGATTCAGCAGGTAGGACTCAAGCTTATTCTGCTGCTGGGTCACGTCAGGGAAATCGATGAAGAAACGCGAGCACATGTACCGCTCCAGAGTTTTGATCTCCTGAGGGCTGGCTGGAGTGTAGTCTTTGACGAGCAGATTGCAGTATTTCAGTAAGCCACCGCCACGTATTTGCTCGGGCAGTTTAGTGGCAATCATTCTGTTCTGCAGATGATAAAAGGCTTCACTGAAGTTACCGTACACGCTTTCCCCCAGCACTGTGGGATACAGGGTCTCACTAATAGGCAGTTCAGCGCAATCGTAGAAAAATAAAATGGAATCCAATATGATTTGGAATGAGTCGACAGAAAACTCGAACTGCCTCTTCATGGTATCGACGAACTTGAGTTCAATATTCCTACCACCGTTGTTCGAGAGCGAAATGAGTGACCAACGATCTACATCGTTGCTTACTTTGACCATCTTGTTGACGTAGCCTTCCTTGAGTGAGCACGAAGACAGACGTTTCTTGTTGACGCCCAGAGGCAGAAACTCGAGCAAGGCATCGAGCACAGCGTTCTTGACACGATCATAACTCCTCTGCGAGCTCAGCTCTACAGCGAATATGAGATCAAGATCGTTGTACGGCTGATCGCTGTCTGTGGCAAGGATGTGCGAGGCGGCTCCACCGTTCAGACGAATGTCACGGACCTTCACTGAATCTGCCGCGAGTTTCGCTTTGACTACGGCGACGAGATCACGAAGACGAACTTCGATGGTAGGAAAATTTCCACGTCCGTGTATGGGTAAAACTTCTTGCAGGACTTCATCTAGGCGACTTACTTGTTCGAAGGTTAATACGGAGAAGCGGCCGTCTTCCATAGCGACGTCAACGCACTTTTCCATTCTGTTTCTCAGGTCCTTCGACACCTCGAGAACGCCTTTCTGTAACGAACGGAACAGCTGGTAAGAGGAGCAGATTACGAAAGAACCTTACACAACGACTGCACCGCTCGGACTGTGAGAGCCAGACTCACAACACACGATCACCAGAAGGGCACCACCATCTCCACCATCACCACCACCGCCGATCCAGCACCACCACCAACAACAGCAGGTGGTGCTCTCTACACGTACGCACGCACGCACTCACGCCTTCGTGAACATTCTAGTGACAGCCGGTTGCTCTCGAATATGGAGTAAATTTGGGCGAAATTTAAAATAAATAACCTAGTCCTCATATAAACCATAATTTACTGCACAAAATATTTGTTATGGTTATAGTAAATATTCGTCATGGTAATTGGCCCTTATGACCAATGTGAATATATAGGCAAAGAATACGTTGACATATACAAAACATTTGAAAGTACCCCAAATTAATTATCCTATTTTGGCAAAAAATTAGAGCATCATTCCAAAAAATCATGATAAATAGAACAATTTCGAACAAGAATATAAAATTCATCAAATGAAGAAACTCGCCTAGAAAAATTAGCACAAATATAATAGAACCGAAAAGTTTCGCCCATGTCATTGAACTGTGTCGACTAGATGCATTATTATTTTGACCCCAAGGAGTCGAGTCTAAATGACCCACGTATTTAAATCAGTGCTAGTAGAGCCCGAAACTAAATCAGTGACGGAACCAGGGCAGAAACTGCAATTTTTATTTATATTTAGGCCGTAAATTTATTTATTTAGGACCTGATGCCGCGGCCTTGAGACGAGATAGGGTGACCGTAAGCTGCTATGAGAAAAATTAATGGGTAATGTTGTCCCAACAGCTACAGAGTTTCTGCATGCAGCCCAGATACGTTCTTTTGCCGGGAAAAACTGAGTCATGATGGCTCACAGTGGAGCGAGAAGCGCATCGCGACTTGGACAAAGTGTCTCTAATTTTTTTGAGTGAGGGCACGACGCCTCCAGCAGCCTTTGCTCAGCTGTGAACGTCGCCCCACTCACCCCACTCACCCCAGCCCGTGTCCGGTCTTCCCACTCACCCCAGCCCGTGTCCGGTCTTCCCACTCACTCACCCCTCACTCACCCCTCACTCACCCCTCACTCACCCCTCTCTTACATTTGACCCCAACGTTCCAACTCTTACATTTGCCACCAGCGTTCCAACTCTTACATTTGACACCAACGTTCCAACTCTTACATTTGACACCAGCGTTAAAATTCCAGTTTTCGCCATACGCTTAGAAATATGAATGAGTCGAACTGTTCACATAGTTACTTTATTCACGTAATCTTAATACGAGTTTTCATCACGCCGAACTGGGTCACGATGACCCATGTGAGGTCAAAAAGAGCCTCAACATTTGAAGAAAATCCCGTATATTTTTCTGGGTGTCAGTTTCCGATAATAACGTTAATGCCTTTTGTTCTTTGGCTGCAGCGTTCCCGCAACTCCAGCGTTCCCGCTACTCCAGCGTTCCCGCAACTCCAGCGTTCCCGCTACTCCAGCGTTCCCGCTACTCCAGCGTTCCTGATACTCCAGCGTTCCCTATACTCCAGAGTTCCCTATACTACAGCGTTCCCAATACTCCAGCGTTCCCTATACTCCAGCGTTCCCTATACTCCAGCGTTCCTATCTATAGCTTATATTATTTACTAAACAACTTATTGAATAGATTATAAAATGATAATTATAAGAATTAATGTTTTAGCACAAACGCTGTAACTCTTACATTTGACACCAACGTTCCAACTCTTACATTTGACACCAACGTTCCAACTCTTACATTTGACCCCAACGTTCCAACTCTTACATTTGACACCAGCGTTAAAATTCCAGTTTTCGCCATACGCTTAGAAATATGAACGAGTCGAACTGTTCACATCGTTACTTTGTTCGTGTTAATTAGTATATATATCATATATATACTAATTCGAATTTTTTCGTGCTAAACTGAGTCACGATGACCCATGAGCGCCTCAAAAAAAAAGAGATTTTCTTCAAAAAGCGCCTAAACATTTGAAGAAAATCCCGCATATTTCTCTGAGTGTCTGTTTCCGATAATAACGTTTCTGCTTTTTGTTCTTTGGGTGCACTGTTCCCGATACTCC